CCCACTTCAAACAACTTTTCTTTGCCCATACTGAAGTAATGGGTAATTTGGAAACACATCCCGGTAAATATAATAGTTATATTGTTAAAGCGGAAAATGTTATATGAAATTTTCGTTAAGATTTCTAAGCATAGTATTAAAATGAGAAAAAAGGTAAATGTAAATTATATTTTAGTATATTATACATGAAATTATTTTTTCTCATTTTAATAACATCCGGGCAAATAAACATAATGTTTTTTAATGAAAAAAAAAAATGATTTGATGTCAGTATTTAATATTTATATGAACTGTGAAGTTTTATTCTTCTTCTTCTTTTTCTTCTTCTTCTTCTTCGTATTATTATTATTATCATTATTATTATTATTATTATTATTTGTTTATTGTTGTTACTTTTTATTTCATTTATCACAATAAAAATTATATTTTTCACTAGTTTTATTTTTCTAAAAAAAGGTGATAGTTAATGTAAGATAGCTTTTAACTGGTTTTTTTCTTCTTATTTCTGTTGTCTATTTACTATATATTTTCATTATAACAATATGATGTATGATGGACAATTCTAAATAAAGAAACGAATTGTCCCATTAAACCAAATGTTTGCGTTATTTTACTACACTCCATTTTGTCATTGATCATATCTTCTTCATTGAAACAGGTGTAAACCATATATCATGAGAGTATTTTCTACAACATATTAAATAACAATTAAAAGCACAGACCATACTAACGCATGAGGAATGTGGAGAAAAACGTTTCATGTATATTCATTTTAATGAACAGTATTAGACAATTGACATTACGCCGCCTGTCAATCAAACAGGCAGGGGTCACAGAGATAAGCCAATCAGCGATTGTTATCAGTTCCACGCTGAGATGCCTACGATGTCCACCATTTTCCTTAGACAAGCTACGTGTCTAAGACAATGGTGCAGAAGTAATTAAGATTGAAATTATTTTAATTTTCTGTCAATTTAAAGCTTTTTTTATCATATATTAATTAAGTTACCAAATATACTGACATATTGACATATCGAGTAAGTTTATTATACAAAAAGTCAATAATTTTCTACATATGGAAATAATAAGTACGAAACATTTATCCTGCCTATAACACAATGCATTGAAAAAGGAAAATGTTTAAACAAATCCACTTTTTTCCCGTTCTATCTATTAATAATCACATTACATATTATTAGGTCCCAGAATATCCAGAAGATATGACATTTTTTCGTTTATAACGTAACTATAGCGTCAATAAAAACGCAGCCGTAAAAATGCAAATATAATGAGTAAATACAATAAAAAAATGGGTGAAATTATCTAACCTGAATATTTCTATTAAAGTTCATTAAATTAATCTTGAATATTCAAATAGATCTGCCTAATACCAAACTAATACCAATAACATCATGTCTGATATATGTGAAGTTTATTTTAAAGAGAATAACGTTGTGTTTTGTCGTGAATCAAATGTATGTTAGCAATAAATAATCACATATCATAAAAAGTTAGCAAGGGCATGCAATTTTCTGAATCCATTTTAACAATTCATGAACACATTTATATATTTAATTTATCAAAACTGAATTTGGCACATAAAACCCGAAAAATGATTTTAAATTTATTTGTGTCACTAAATAAATATAACTTTACTGTTTTATCACAGATATATAAACAATTTATATTTAGCTCCATGTTTTTATGTTTCGCAACTTCAATTTCAAAATAAAACAATCATAACATAATCATATACGTTTCTACATAATTACAGTCTCTCTTTGAATTTGTAAGATATAATGATATTTTGTCAGTTTTAAATTTTCATTGAAGTCAACAAGAAATAACACGATCTTTGCAAAACGTTTCATGCGTCATTAATACGTGAATGCAGATTTGTTTTTACTTTTTAAAAATACCATAATACATTTATACATTGAATTACTCAATAAAACCATCAAAATTTTATATTTACAAAATTTATATAAGGTACATTCATTGTTAACATTAGTGGCACAACAGCTTTGCGAATACATCGGTAGCGTATTTTGTCTAAGGTTCTTACTGACCGGGTCACGTGAATCAGTGGGCGGAGCGATCCCTTCTCTGGCGTAATGTCAATTTGAGGACACTTATACTGATTCCGGAGAATAAACAGTGCAAAATGACAGCATTACTTACCAATTTAAAAGGATAAGAAATATATTCTTCTATGTATACATGTATTAATCAAATAACTCCGAACAACATTTTTCATCATTATCTTTCGAAAATAAATCCATTTAAAAAGATAGAGGACTATTATCCGCAAGGCGGACAGGTACAATGCGTTTCGTCTGAGGTTTAAAAGATAGGGGAATTGTTCCTCTATGTCAAATCTCTCTCTGCATGTAAATTTGTACCTGAAAAAAAGCGTGCAGGTCGACCCCCGGAAAAAGGACATCTGGAATTTCCTTTATTATTCTGGAACGCATTATATGCCATTCCAAAAACCTCCACAACCACTAAGACAACTATCCGCACTGAAAATTTCATCAGCATCACTTCAATTACCTAATGACATCAAAGAAACACCATTATATGATGGTAAAAAAGAATTCCACCATGCAAGATCTTTTTTAACTAGTGACGGAATTTCAAAACCAAGCAATTGAGATTTATCGGTATACAAATCACGTAACCAATTTAATATTCTTGACACCATTACTCGACTTTGTCTAACACATGAACCAATGAATTGTAATTTTCCTAACAAAGACTGAACTTCCTTTAAAGTGGCATACTTTTTATCTAACCACAACTTGATCAAGTCCCTAATTTCAACCAGCCTTTCATCAGTAACTCCAATAGTAAGATCATTACTATTAAATAATATCCCTAAAAAAGTCATAATTTGAGAAGGAGGATTACTTTTCTTTATTGATTCTTCAATTCCACATTTCTGCAATAAAACCGCTAGAGTATTATATGCAAACCAAGCATCTTTGGAATTTTCAGCGCCTGCCAGATCATCTAGATAATTTAAAATAGGTATTCCCATCCTAAACATCATATATGCAATTGCATTAGTCACTCTCTGACAAATCTGAGCAGATGATCTACAACCCATAGTCAAAACAGTATCACAAAAAACATGTTTTTGCCATACATAAGCTACCAAATTATAATTGGAAGGACAAATACTTATTTGTCTATAAGCTCTAGATAAATCTTTTTTATACATCAAGGCACCTTTACCTTTTGCCAATACTAGTTTAACAAAATCATCAATCTTAGGAAATACCAAAGAAACAGGATCACCCAAATAACTATCCTTTGGCACATAATCATTTACTGCACATTTTGTAACACTGCTTAAATCTAGTATAACCCTTCTATCCTCAATTGTCTGTTTTGGGACTGAATTTAAGGGGGAAATAAGCAGATTTGAACTAAAGGGATTCTTTTTAAATGGACCAATAATAGCATTACACTCTAGTTCTTTTCGTAAATAACTGGTTATCTGATCTGGAAATTCTTCGGCACCCTTGTAATTTTTATACTGCCAAATTTCTTTAGTAGAAGGCAATATTTGTTCATTCCCTTCAAAACCTATTGGGAAACCAAATTCTAATAAGTCACAAACACCTAAATCACTGTAGTTAAAATGTGATAAAATTTGACGCATGAAACATGTATTGATCTTTTTATTAACTGGAATCCTGCAACCTTGAAAGTTATATTTCCCTGATCTTTTAACCAGTTCATGTATTCGAACCAAATTAACTGTTTCACTAGAAAACTCTGATGGATTTAAGACTTTACATACCTTACAATATGGGGAATGGGAACACAATAAGGAACTTACGGGCTTATTAACCTGACAAATATTGTTGTAAATAGACTTTTCATTATCTCCTTTATAACCATTACTGTTTGAAAAACAAAAGCTTGGTAAAAATTTGTCAACAATATCATTGTCTTTATCAAATAATGGTAACTGTGACCACAGTCAAACTGACCCAGAATATGGACATGAAGATGAGCATTCTGGATGTTCTAACCTTTTCTTATCTTTTGACCAACAAGCAGCGCAAATATGCTGTGCCAAACGCATCTTTCCACGAAAAACTAAAGAATGAGGACCTTTATGAGCACATTTATTTTTTTGATAAAACGAACAAAACCAAACCGTTTTTTCCTCATCAACTTCAGGTGAAGTTCTTTGTCGGACACGGAAGTTCGAAACCCTGCTCGTCGAAGTCACTGGAGGATTGGGCTTGTTCAAAATGCAAGTTTCTAAATAATGAAAATCATCCCCCAATGTCTTTCCACCTAATTCGACTTCCCTCAAAACTGCAGCATAGAAAGAACGTAATATCTGAAAACTAAAATGAGAATTTAAGTACATAATACGTTTCAATAAACACAAACGACCTTTCTTTTCTGTATTATCTATCTGTGGATCTAATATAATCTCTAACTCCCCGGCTACAAATAAATTGAATGGTAGATCTTCAAAGGCAATATTTTGACTGACATATTCATAACGTAATTGAGAATGGGGATATTTTTGAGAGTTTTTAACAGTATCTGCAGATTTAGCCTTGATTCCTGATGTTTTCGTGCTAAGACGGTTTCTCTTCTTCTTACCAGACGAACTTCTAACAGCAGAACCAACACTTGTCTCACTATCACTCTATTTGACAAATCGGACTCCGAGTCAGATTCAGAATTTAACAAGCCTTATTTCTTTAAATGGCTTTGTACCAATTTATTCAAATCCGGCATTTGACGTAAACTAATAATGTCCAACTTATCATCACTAGACTCTGTACTTAAATGTTCATCTTTGACTTTATTATTGGACAAAAAGGCAGCAGGTTTAGAGGAAAGGCCCTTACCCTTTTTCAAAGAACGAACTCGTCTTTGTTTTTCTTCTAACTGCATTCGCAGTTCATCCTTCTTACGTTCTTGCAACAAACGTTTTTCTTCGGCATCCAGTTCTTGGATCTGTTTCATCATGAAAGCCATTTGTCATCTTCTCCCTCATCCGATTTGGACGAAACATTCTCATCCGAAATCAATTTGCCAATTTTTCCAGGAGATGCATAAAGGGGAAGATCTCTAGCATCCTCTTCGAATTCGTCTCCTGTATCCGTCGTACCCACTGTACTGAGCAATTTATAGTTCAACGGTTTCTTATTTCTGCTAGACATCATTAGGAAATACGCACACACAAAACAAGAATGTATGTGACGATTAAATAAAGTCAAAAATTCGTCACAAAAAACACGTTAAACAAAATGTCACCAAAATTTGTCAGAAATGACCAATTTTGCACAAAATTGCAAATAAGTCACCAAAGGTGACCAATTGTTAATATATATTATTCAAATATATTTCCTTTAGATGTGATACTCCAATAAATAAAAAATGACGGACGAAATACGTCCAAATATTCGAACTCGATTTTTAATTTTTCTTAAACTTGACAGCTAGACAACAAAGGCTCGAATGACTAGAAGTACAAAATTGGCGCGACAATAATCTAAAAATAAACGACCAATCAGAAAACAGTTCACCAAAGTCACGGTTTACTCGAAATAATTAGTTATTTTAGATCTAAAATATATCCATTAATGTATTTTTCATGTTTTTTTGATTGTTTGTTGTTATTACAATGTATTTTGTTTTATTTTATTTTATTTATTTTTTTTGGGGGGGGGGCGGTGGTGGCAGGGTGTGGTTGTTTTTAATTGGGGGGAGGGGCGGTGGTATAAGCAAGAATAAGCAAGAACTAGACCTTTATTCTATTATTTATTTTGCTATAATATGGTAAACTTTCAGTAAAGCTCTTCTATCATGAAACATAGCTTTGGCAAATGCAACAAGATTTCCCAAAGGTGACTGATATGGTATTTAGTTACTGAAACAGAAGTTTCATATATTATATAGTGAAACTACAAAGAGTAGTTTTGGGCAAAAATAATTCAAAAATTGCATCTGCTTTTATACAAAATATTTTGGGTTCGAACGTTTTAGGTATGAATCTGATAGAAAATATATGCGTCAATACTTCCGCATCGAGTGGTTCTTGTATGAAATTAGATACATTCTAGACATTCTCTGTCCCAGTTGATGGATGATTTTGACTTATAATATTATGTCAGCGAATATTTACTCATTTGCAGTACATTTTAATTTGTAAACAAAGCCCATAGCAACCAGGCGGTCTCCCTAATTACCGAAAAGAACCGTCAGGAACCGACACGAAGTAAAAATGGAAAAATACGAATTAATTTCACTACTTCATCATTTAATAATCACAATTCCTAATATTTTTACATGAAAAACATAATAAATTTGTTCTGAACCATGTTTATAGGCAAATATCTATACCGACAATAGTATACTTGATTTTAATTTAGTTCCCTTGACACCAGTTCCGAGGTCATTAACAAGTTCATCCTACGTAAAAGTTGTATTTTGTACATTTGTTTTATGATGATATGTAATTAGTGTGGTGACAATTAACATCTTCATTGAAAGTTTGAACCGATTTTAACTCTACTATCAAAATTTTCGATTGTAATAAAAATGGAAGCGTAAACCATGTGTCAATTTTGACATACATGTATTCCGCGAAAATAACATAACCGGATATAGAATTTATAGCATGTCGGGATTAGTATTGGTTAGTTTAACCAGCGGTTAAATTTAAACATTTGGTTAGTTAACCTTTTGGTTATCTCGGTTTATACAAGTGACTAGCCAGATTGGTTAGTTCACCAAAGTTGGTTAAATTTAACCCATGGTTAGCGTTTAACCCAGGGTTAATTTAACCAACGTTTATACAATTGGGTGCTAATGGAGTTTCAATTAAATCTGATGAATGATATTTATCAAAGGCGGTCGGGCGTATATTGTAATGTACATATATTGCTGATTTATGTCAAAGCTTCTTTTCGGGGGCATAAGTCACTTTTCAGTGACAGCTCTTGTTTTCAAATTATTTTGTTTAAAAAAATAGTATGTACCATATAAACCATATTATGGATTTGGTGAAAACACTGGTAGAAATGAACCAATACCTATCTCATTCGAAAAAAACAACAACAGAAATTGACGCTATCTTCTAGACTCATTTCTATATTTATCGTTTCTTTCAAGGCCTTTTAATGTCTAAAATGCTCCAAGCTTTATTAACCACATACTTAACCTTTCTTAAGTTATAAACACTTGTTTTACAAAAAATGATACCAATGCATCTTGTGAAAGACAGAGTCATCTACGATACCTTTGGTTATCGAGCGCTGATATTTATCTTGCTGTAATGCAGGTTTCCCTAACTGCGTAGCTTTGATATGTTGTCCTTTTTTCTCAGTGTGGACAACTTTCTTCCTGCCATCTTTTTCTAGAAATAAAATAAAATGAAGGGTTATAAAACAATAAAATAGAATAATCGGTATAAAAATTAATGAATCAGAATAAAGATTGTTCACTTCCCAAAATCATTGAGCCTGGGAGTTCAGCCATTCTTGTTCAAACACAAATATAAAGAAATAAAGTCCTGTCCCATAGAAGTAATTTTTATATTAACTCGTAAAAAAAACCCTGCTTAATTAAACAAGAGGGCCATGATGGCCCTGAAGTCGCTCACCTGTATATAGGCCCCCCGGAGCGGGGCAAGTTTAAACCCCAGGGCTTTTATTTGAATAAACTTGGTAGACACCCATTAGAAGATGTTTCATGCTAAACATCTAAGGTCTAGCTTGTTGGGTTTTTTAAAAAAAAGATTTTTTAAGTTTTTTCTTTACACATATACTAGTATTTAAAAACAATGACACTCCTTGGGCAGGGCCAGTTTTGACCCCAGGGCTTTTATTTGAACAATCTTTGTAGACACTAACTAGAAGATGTTTCATGCTTAATATCTAAACTCTAGCTATTCGGGTTATTTCCAAGAAGATTTTTAAGTTTTGCTATACACATATAAGGAAAGTCAATGTCCCCCGGGGCGGGGCCAATTTTGACCCCAGGGCTCTTAGTTGAACAAACTTGGTAGACATCCATTAGAACATGTTTCATGCTAAATATCTTAGCTCTAGCTCTTTAGGTTCTTTAAAAGAAGATTTTTAAGTTTTAACTATATTCAAATAAGGAAAATCAATGACCCCCTGGGGCGGAGCCAATTTTGACCCAAGGGCTCTTGGTAGACATCCGTTTCAACATGTTTCATGCCAAATATCTTAGCTCTAGCTCTTTGGGTTCTTTAAAAGAAGATTTTTAAGTTTTTACTATATGCATATAGGAAAAATCAATGACCCCCTGGGGCAAGGCCAATTTTGACCCCAGGGCTTTTATTTGAACAAACTTGGTAGACACCCATTAGAATATGTTTCATGCTAAATATCTTAGCTCTAGCTCTATGGGTTCTTTAAAAGAAGATTTTTTAAGTTTTTACTATATGCATATAGGGAAAATCAATGACCCCCTGGGGCGGGGCCAATTTTGACCCCAGGGCTTTTATTTGAACAAACTTGGTAGACACTTACTAGAAGATGTATCATGCCAAATATCTAAGCTCTAGCTCTTTTGGTCTTATAGAAGATGATATTTAAAGTTTTTTCTTTTGGTTGCCATGGCAACCAGAGTTCTGCATGGAATTAAATTCTTTGAACAATTTTCAAAGGTGACCACCAAAGGAACATTCCTGTGAAGTTTGGATGAAATTGGCTCAGTGGTTTATGAGGAGATGTCATTTAAAGTAAAAGTTTACGGACAACGGACGACGGACGGACGATTGACAGACGGACGGACGGACGCCGGACGAAAAGCGATCACAAAAGCTCACCCTGTCACAAAGTGACAGGTGAGCTAAAAAACAAACAAAATAACGTCATGACTTTTCAAATTCGATAAAAGTTATAGAATGGCATGTAGAACATTTTGAATTTCCAGGTTTTACTTAATTGCTACAAGTTTTTTATAACCAAACTTTAATTTGAATAATTTATAACTAAAACTATTAGTAGGTTTGTTTGTATAGAGTAATATAAAATGAACGCTTATTTACATTGAATTCGATATACTGCGAATTCACTTAGGCTATATTCGTGGGCATGAAATTTCGTGGTTTTATCAAAATGTGCATTTTCGTGGGTTCTTAAATACGTGGATTTTCTTGTGAATTTTTTTAACTTCATGCAAAGTAATCCTAACTTAATCGCCGAACATTTTTACTTACAGCATGTACTTATCTTTAAGCGTCACACAGTTGTCAATAAATTTAATCCTTGCCTCTAACATTACTCTAATATGTAATATGTAATAGTTACCGTACGAGGAATAGGTCTGCATAGTATTGACAGACCCGGGTGGCGATTTGAAGACCGAGAGAGCGTAGCGATCGAGGTTTTTAAAAGGCCACTGGGTCTGTAAATACTATGCAGACCTATTCCGAGTGCGGTAACTATCTTACCTACGTGCTCTTTTGTTTTTCTATCAATACATCAGTTTTTAGCTCAGTATTTATTAATATTACTCACAAGAAACATATTACTTATGTACTTTATCATGTTTAAGAAAGCATTCCAAAGCCAAGCAAAGATACCATCCGCTACGCTCTTGTATTCATTCGTTCACAAATCAGGTATTATTTGAATATTCTCGTGATTTTCGTGGGGGGTTTCATTATGTAATAAAGTCAGGTAATGCACTTGTTTTGTTGAGTTGAGTCACAGAAAATGAAAACAGAACTTGTTGAGTAGGGAAAGGTAAGATCATTATTTTAAAATATGAATACATAACATATTAATAATATAAACAAATACTGAGGAAGATAAAAATGTTTTCTAATCATAAAAACGGAACACTTTATCTTTATATATAATACATTTCATGGTAAATAGATGATCAGGCTATTTCTTATATAATTAAAATATACGATTTTTTCAAAGGAACGTAAAAGACGGGGTTCTATGAAAAAATATTAGTAATACATGTAGCTACACCGTTATGTAAGTTGGGTTTTGTTGTTGTTGTTTTTTATGATGGCTGATTTTAAATGTTCTTAGAATTTCATCCATGTTTGGAATAATTTTCTTTCCGTGTATTCTTAATTAGCATCATCCGTAATAAGACCGCATGTAAGCACGCGGTCTAGAATGGAAGCGCAAGTCGTATTCTTGGTACTGGTATACGAAATCCAAATTGTAATGTAAATATAACTGGGTAAAAATGAGAAAAACGGTCGTATACTTAAGATGAACTATACTCTCACTGAAAGTAATATTTTGGGAAAGAAAGATGTAGAAGTTGGCTTTGATTCGATATGCACCAATAATATAATCGTCGTATATATCCCATAATGCAGAATCGTTAAAATAATGCAGGATTGTGCAAATTCAGACATAGTTGTGGAAATAAATACCAAAAACTAGTATCTTATGAAACTGTATAGTTCGGCAAATGTGTTAGGTATGCCGAAAAGCAAACTTTAAACTTTCGAGTTTTCTTTCAAGTTTCTTAAATATTGCAAACTGATTTAATATGTCACTAATCTGATTATCTGTACTGTATGTATATACATCCATTTCACGAAAATCGCCCGAAAAAGAGCCGATGCATGTTTGTAATATATAGAACAGAGACAGGGTAAGAAGTATTTGTTGGGATAAAATTTCGTAGGATCTTCAATTCGTGGATTGACCTACCCACGAAAACCACGAAAATTCGTGCCCCACGAATAATAATGATTTTACGGTATGTCAACATTAAGATCAAAACACTTTTTTATACTAACAATTTACACTTTCAAATAAATTTGTCAAATAAAACAATTCGAAACACACTCAATAAAAACATGTATGTGAGTAATAATATATAAACACATCCGGATGTTAAGTATTTAACAAGAGTTTGGTTTTGCATGCAGTAATGACCTGTCCGACGAGATTTTCACATTTTCTGACAAGCTTATATTACCATTGTTTTGACTATCCATGTAAAATTTTTCTATCATAATTCATTTATGTATTTCTAATCGCTGACAATGTTTTAATATTGAAAAAAAAACATAAAAAAGAACAAACAAAAAAACAAAACAATAATAGCCATGGAAATTGATCATACCATAATAAATTGTCTGCAAACGTGTGTCATTAAAACATTGCTAGCTTTTTTTTTTAATTTTCTTCATTTATGGTGCAAAATATATAAAATCTAAATCGGGATAGGTGTAAAATCTTCCAATGGTGTCTCATATATTCTAAAGTTACACTATAGTTTATAGAACAATTGATGCATACCACGGTAATAGTTATAAAAAAAGATATTTATTCTGGTCCGAAATGTCCAAAAACAATGGTCCGAAGTGTCTAACACATGATCCCAAATGTCAAACACATGGTCAGAAATGTCCAAAGCAGTGGTCCGAAGTGTCTAATGCATGATCCGACATTTCCAATACATGGTCCGAAATGTCCCTAAATATGGTCTGAAGTGTCCCAAAATCTGGTCCGAAATGTGTGGAGCGAAACGTCCATTGTCCGAAATGTTCTATTACCATAGAACACTGGCTAGGGCGACATCAAGGGGTGTTTCTGCGAAAAAATGGCGAGGCCGTTAATATGCTGTCTTGTTATTCTTTGCTATAAAACAAAGATAAAGTTCTCAACTGTAAGGGAGGGACAGGCTATAAATGAAATGATAAGAACTAAAAGGGGCCGCTTCGGGATATGTAAGGACAAGGGTAGTAAAGAAAAAAGTTCGAAATGGTCAATTTTTAAGAAAAATAAGATTGATTTTTTTGCACAGTTATTGCCCCTTAATGGTCATTTTTGAGTTAGTAAAATTAGTTTGTCCGCGCTTCATTTCCAAGACTTCTGGGGGATTTCAGTGAAACTTTGTTTGTCACTATACCTAGTTGTGCATACTCTCTTAGTTGTGCATACTCTCTTTCCGCTTGATTTTTTTGGTACAGTTATGGCACCATAATGGTCAATTTTGAGTAAAGTAAAGCTTGCCTGCGGTTCATCTCAAAAGCCGCTGTGGGCATTTCAGTGAAACTTTACAGGATTGTTTGTCACCATGTCTAGTTGTGCATAGTGTCTTGATTTTCCCCTTGAATTTTTATGGCAGAGTTCCGCCCCTAAATGGTCATTGTTTGAGTAAAATAAGCTTGCCTGCGCTGCATCTCCAAAATCACTGGGGATTCCAGTGAAAAACTCACATGATTGTTTGTCCCCATGCCTAGTGGTGCATAATCTCTTGATTTTTGCTTGAATTCTTTGACACAGTTTGACCCTCAATGATCAATATTTGAGTAAATTAGTTTGACTGCGCTTCATCTCTAAGACCTCTGGGGGATTTCAGTGAATCTTCGCAGGTTTGTTTGTCACATTGCCTAGTTGTGCATACTCTCTTTTTTTTTCTTCATAAAATTGTGTGCATGGTGTCATGAATTTTCATGTCTAGTTGTGCATTGTGCCATGATTTTGTGCATGATTTTTTCGAACAATTTTGGGCCCTTGTAGATGATGTTTTAGTGAAATTTGTTTAGACTTTCAATTTAATTTAGGAAATGATATTTATCATAGGCGGTTGGGTGTATATGACCAATATTTTGGCATATATTACAGATTTTTCAAAGCTTCTTTTCGAAGGCAAAAGTCACTTTTCAGTGACAGGTCTAGTTTTATAATTATTTTATATAAAAAATATATAAGTACGATATTAACCATATTGTGGATTTTGTGAAAATACTGGTAGAATTGAACCAATACCTATCTCATTCGAAATATGTATCATATGAAAGACAGAGTCATCTACGATACCTTTGGTTATCGAGTGCTGTTGATATTTATCTTGCGGTAATGCAGGTTCCCATAACTGCGTATATGTAGCTTTGATATGTTGACCTTTTTTCTCACTGGGGTAAACTTCCTTCCTGCTATCTTTTTCTAGAAATATAATAAAAATGAAGGGCTATAAAACAACAAAATAGAAAAATCGGTTAATAAATCAATGAATCATAATAAATATTGTTTATCTTGAGTGAAAATCATTTGATGTATAAAAATAACCAATATAGCACCAAAGAGGCCCTAGTCATTGCAACTGGGTGTTCAACCATTCTTGTTCTAACACCAATATCAAGAAATAAAATCCTGTCCTATAGTAGTAATTTTTATATAACCTCGTCAAAAAAAAACCGTTAATATAAAAAATTAAAAATAACGTCATGACTTTTCAAATCCGATAGAAACTATAAAATGGCATGTACAACATTTTGAATTTCCAGTTTTTACTTAATTGTTACAAGTGTTTTATAACCAAACTTTAGTTTGTATAATGTATAACATATACTGTAAGTAGGACTGTTTCTTCTTGTATAGAGTAATATAAAATGAACGTTTATTTACGTTGAAATCGATAATTATATGTCAACATTAAGATCAAAACACTTTTTTATACTTACAATTTACACTGTCAAATAACTTTGTCAAATAAAACAATTCGACACACACTCAATAAAAACATGTATGTGAGTAATAATATATAAACACATCCGGATGTTGATTTCTTAACAAGAGTTTGGTTTTACGGATGATATAAGAATTTGTTCATTTCTACCAGTATTTTCACCATATCCACAATATGGTTTTATTGTCTATATCAAATTTTTTTAATTAAATTATAAAAAATATAAATTAACCGTTAACAATTTTTTGCAATAGATATATGTTTGTAATTTGGTGAAATAAAATGCAAATATATTGGACATTTAGCGATGGATATAGTAATCTTAAATTTAGGATTTGTCTAAGTTTTTCTTTCTGCCTTATTTTTATTCTTTGCTATAAAAACAAATATAAAGTTCTAAAATGTATATATATATATATATATATATATATATATATATATATATATATATATATATATATATATATATATATATATATATATATATATATATATATATATATATATATATATATATTGAAATAATCCAGGAATCAGATTATTTTCACTTATATCATCTTATATATCCGTTAAATCATATTTTTAATTATCCATTATTCTTCTTTTTAAATTGTATTCTAAATATGTCTAATATTCATTTCAACTGTCTCAAACACAATGAAGAATTAAACTAACTTGAAACATCTTTGTCTAAACAAATACCAACAAAGCAAGACCACGCTCACAGAACGCAGCCCCCTACACAATCCAGCCTCACTAGTAAGGGAGGGACATGTAATAAATGAAATGAGAAGAACTTTGAATTTGAATTATACTGTTTTATCGTTCACATTATTTACTTTTGGTCTTTTGTTTACCACAATAAAACTTATGAGTATCTAACACAACAAAGATCGGCCCTATATCGTTAATACGATAGGCAAATTGTTTTATTAGTTTAAACATATTTTATTTATCAATTTTTACAAGCATGTAACATTTTTACATCACAATATATATGGATTGGAAAACAAGCATAACACTTATATTAATTCCTTTCCATAAATTGTTTTATTACTTTCATTTTGTATAGTCTATATAAAAATGTTTGTTTTTCCCGGTCAAAAGAATCCGTTGTCTGATAAAATATTTGTATAAACGCCATTGAAAGGAGTTAAATAATATTAGTATGAAAATTGTACAATATCTTTTTTAAAAGACTAAGAAAATGCAGGAGATCATTGGTATGTAGAGTACTCTCTTATATTTGGTTTTCTGAATGTGGCTTTATAATTTTTTTTTTCACTTTCACTGTCACTGTCTCCATATATCAATATGGATTATTTGTGTATAATAAAATGATTTCTATTCTTGCAGTATGATACTTGCATATAGTGTTTTGAAATAAAATATCCTAAAGCCCCAGAAATACTTTTTTTTTATTTCTCAAAATCTTAAATTTTTGATAAATCTTGTTAGGGATTCCAAACATGCAGTTAATTGGACATATAGATGGACTAATTTTTCTTCTTCTTTTGATCTTTGGCAAATCGTATGATGATGGCAATTTGGTATTAAGATATACTATTACAGCACATAAGAGTTCCAAATCTAGGAAACTGGATGTTCAAACATTCTTGTTTAAAAGAAGAGAAAACAAGAGCTGTCACCCAAGTTACGAATGCCCCCGAAAAGGTTTCTGAAGCATGCATGTATTTGGAAAAGAAAAGAGAATGAAAGTAACTAACTGCTGAATATTGTTCTTTGTATTATTGTACCAGTAATCTCTAATTGTGATAGCATGAACCTTCAAAAAAATAAGGGTGACCTTGACCTTTGAAGAAGGGACGTGGTTCCTGGAAGCGACCAAATGTTGTTATGAGATAGACATTTGTGCCAAATTATTTCAAATCACTCTATGCATGACAAAGTTACAGTCGGAACATGATTTTGTGTAAGTTGGGACACACGGACGGACATATTGTCTGGATGTGGTAGACATTTGTGCCAAGTAATTTTAAAATCCTCCCGTGCATGACAAAGTTACAGTCTGGACATGAATGTGTATCTTCGAACTGTTCTCGAAATAACTAGTACCTCCAAAAGTGTGACCTTGTAGGTAGGGACATGGGTCTTTGTCGCGACATGTCGTCTTTATGTATTAGTAATTTATGCCTAGTTATCTTAAAAACCTTCGATGCATGACAAAGTTACAGCCCGGACACGAATGTGTGTACCTATAAACTCTAATTGTGATAAAGTGAACTTCAAAATGTCAGTGTGACATTGGCCTTTGAGGTAGGGACTTGATTATTGGACGCGACACATCGTCTTGATGTTGTAGATATTTATGCCAAGTTATTCTAAAATCCTTCTATGCATCACAAAGTAACAATCCGGACACAAATGTGTGTACCTATAAATTCTTATTGTGATAATATGAAACTTCCAAATGTTAGTGTGACCTTGACCTTTGAGGTAGAGACATAATTCTTGGACGCGACACATCATTTTGATGTGCTAGACATTTATGCCTAGTTATTTTACATGACAAAGTTACAGTCCAGACACGAATGTGTGTATCTATTTACTCTAATTGCGATAATGTGAAACTTCAAAATGATAATGTGACCTTGACCTTTGAGGTAGAGACGTGGTTCTTAGACGCAACACATCGTCTTGATGTGGTAGTTATTTGTGCCAAGTTATTTCAAAATCCCTTAATGTATGACAAAGTTACAGTCTGGACACGAATGAAGTGGGGACACACGGACGTCCGGCCGAATTGGGATAAGGGGCCATTTCCATTGTTATTTTCTTTTGTTTAATAGAAGGTCAATGGCGCCTTTCTCTATTGTTACGGAATAAGCTCTATTGATCTCTTTTGTTCTGTTTACAGTTAGATGGCCCCCACCCCTATTTGGTTATGCAGACAGACAGACAGACGGACGGACGGACAGATGGTGTGATTATAATATGGGGGCATAAAAATATCAAAATTAAGGATTTAAATAAAGATCGTATTCCAGGGTAGTTATTTTTAAATTGACCCGTGTTTTAGTCTAGCAATTTTTTACTTGTAGATAACTTTTTCAAGTAAAACAATTTGACGAACACTTAATAACATTCGTGTATGCGGGTGATTATAAAGGCATCCGGATGTAAAGTACTTACGTGGTTTTTGCTTTTCAGATGAGATAGTTGCTGGTTTATATCCACCATATGTACCAAGTGGATGATGTTTAAATATTCCTGGAGTTAATACTGGCTGATATCTACTAGTATATTCATCATATCCGTCATACAGATACTTAGGCATGTAATCTATATGTATAAATTAAATATAATTCAAAAACACCTATGAATATATTCTATGATTAAGTTCACATAAAGCGATCCTCTATTCATGCAAGTGAAAATTGTACAAATTGAGATTTGCAAATTAAATAATTTTACAGTAGTTTGCAATAGTTATATGTTTACTTGTTAATAAATAAAAGGCAAATATATAACACATTCCTTGTTTGTTATGTTATTAAAGAACATAATAAGAGAGGGTGATTAGATTAATTATATTGCTAATGGGTATATCATTAACTGTGCTATTGAATTAATTGTGCTATTGAATTGAATATTAGTATAATTAAGTTAAAAGCAGTGCAAATATTTACGTATCGGTGACAGCATTATGCAATATTCAATTTAAACCTATTTTCAACTTGCTGAAACCGGCAGTCATTTCAATTTAAAAATCTTGTAACACTTTTGTTTGGTTTTATATCATGAATATGATGCCCAAATTAAGATTTATCAATTTTGTCAGTTCCAAAAAGCATTATCTATAAAGATATTACCGAATTTAACATATCATGTAAATAAAGGGAGGTAATAAAAAATTATTTTCTATAAAGACTTTGTCAAATTTTTCAATAAGAAATGGATGCATATATTTTAATAATTACATATACATGTAATATGTAAATATATTTGCAGTACATATTTTACATATTCTTCGATGTTTGAAAATTGTTTTATAAGCATAATTATATAATACATATACATGTACATTTGTAATTTCATTTAAGTTTGGTATACAACCTAAATTACAACATACAGGATCTTTAGTCACTGTTCATCTTTTTATATTTCTGAAACTGCTTATGGACATTTAAAAATCAAAGTTGTACAATACAAATTAATAAATGCAAGTGAACGTAAATTGTACGTACATTTCGAGATTAATTGGTTTATTCCGGCAAAGTCTTCAGTCGACGGGTTATACCCGTTTTCTTCCAGAGCAAAATAAAAATCGACTAAATGAATCTCAGAACATTTTTCAAGTATGTCAAGTAGGACTGTAGTACCCATTCTTCCGGTATGTTGAAGACTTATTTTCAAGAATTCGTTACCACTAATAATCATCTTTGATAAAAGACTGGCAGCAATATCATTTGCATTTTCAAGTTCCCGAAGAAGGCAATCTCTCTGTTGGCTGGTGAATTTGATAAGAGGTTTGCCACCATTTGGTCTTAAACATTTTCCTGTCATTGATCCTTCTAGTTCTGATAAAACTGAAGAAAAAAATGTTTCATTACGAAGCTTGAAAGTCAAAATGTAATAAATCATAAGATACATAGAAGATACGTGGAATTTTATACCATCGAGTAAAATAATTTTTATTTTTTAACTGATTATACCACATAGCACGCTAAATATAAGCTTTAAACTCTCGGGGCGTGAAAGACAGTTTTTATTATAACATTGTGCCATTGTTTATAAACGTTCGACTTCACTGACAGACGAAAATTAATTGCATATGATATATTTTCTATGACTCTTTACCAATATAGTATTGAATTTCTTTGAAAGTATTACACAGTGACCTTCTTTAGCACTTCAGAAGTTGTTGGTCTCTAATTTTAATCTCATAAACCACTATCAATGTATGTTTATACATTTATTACTTTTATGTAGTTTGTGAATTACCGATTTCCTTTTCATTTTTGGAAAACATGTATCGTACAAGCTTCTATAACATATTTGTTTACATTGTTTACAATGTAAAATTATTAACAATATGTTTATAACTACATTGCCAAAGACTGATTATGGTGTGCAGGATAATCTTGTATCCTCTCTGAAAAGTGTGCAAATAATTGCCCTGCAGAAAAAACGTAAAATTTGTATAATTTGCTGATAATAATATGATGTCATACTCGTAGAAATGAACATTTTCCAAAGCTAAATATCGTAATGACACAGTGACCTTCTTTCGCACTTTAGGAGTGTTTGGTTCCTTATTTCTGTCTCATTAATCACTATATTGATACATGTTTATATAACACATTGGTGACTCTTATGTGGTTCTAGTCTTACCAATTTTCTTTTTATTTCGGAAAAACATGTATCAATTCATACAAGATACTAAGAGGATATTTGTCCCGGCTCGTGAAAATATGTGGCATTTTATCATGTTGAGTGAAAATATATTCCATATTTCACGAAAAACGAAAAAATAACCTTTTTATTTAATTTCGTTTCAAAGAAAAATGGTTACAAACCCCCTTGCTTGCTGCAATTTTACAGCGCGCAGTAATAATTATATTTCTTATAGTATGCGTCTTGTTTTACACGCGATATTTGACGCTATTTTGTGACGTCACATAAAAAACTCCAGCGTTAATGACTGAGTTAAAGATATTGGTGTTCGGATTTATTCTCTTAGTTAGACAATTTTCTATCATTCTAGATAGTTTTCAAAACATAATTCAACAAAAAATTGTTTTGTATTTATCAGATTTTTCAAACAAAATGGCGAAAGAAGTCCTTTAAAATAAATATGAGTTTTGACTCCGCCCACTTTCATATTTATATTTCATATTTATTTTTAAAAAATATTAAATATATTTGACTGATATAGCACCATATTTCATGGGAAAAATTAAATAATATCGTATATTTGTTTACATTGTTCAAAACAAAATAAATATCATAAAATGTAACAACGAACAGTAAACACATGACTTTATGTGACTTTATAACCTTTGCTATGTACAGTTTAGATCCAAAATTTATACAGTCAGTTTATTGCATATAATTAGCTATGTATTGCAGGTTTATTCCTATCGTCTTTTATAACAGTTACTCGGAATTTTTACACAAGACTTTAAAAGTATGTATATTTTGATTTTATAGTTTCCAAATGAATTCAAAATCACGAAAAAATAGAGTCAAAACACTTTTCAGTGTGATAAGCTTATGAAACACATGATTTTACAAACCTGTTTTATCGTTTAAAGTTACAATCTGTAAGTCAATCATCCTCTTAATGTCATCACATCCTCGGTCTTGTAGATACTGTTTAAAGCCTTCAAGCAATTCTTTTGGGCTAGTCAACACCTTAGATTTAATAATGTATAAATAAAAACGGGATTTGCTTACAAATGGAATGTAAAACTAAATAAGGGCATAGAAGGTGAAGATAGGAATTATAGCCATGATTTTCTTAATTTGATATAATATAGAAGGAAAATAATAAATTTCATATACATTTTATTATTGTCTTTTATTAACAAGTTTTGGAATAAAATGGATTACTCTCATTGTGATACATGTACTATTTTTAAGTTGATTATAAACATACCGTTGCGATAAATATGTCAGCATTTCTTTTACGGTTAATGCGAAAATGTTCCCATTGATGAGTAAACAAACCCTTCCTGGACAGGACATCCATCATATCTTCTAGCATGTAAGTGTCTCTGAGAAACATAACCGACTTCATTATACAGACCTTGTCAGCTAAAAATGTCTTCTCTTCATCTAAATCGAAAATAAATGTTGCAAAATTTTAGTTATAAAAAAAAATATATTACCAAAAAACATCGAACGCACATGTTGATCAATTCAAATATAAAAAATGAAACACAGCATATATATATATATATATATATATATATATATATATATATATATATATATATATATATATATATATATATATATATATATATATATATATATATGTATATCAGTTTGCATGTTAAAAAAATAAGAGAAGAAAATTTTCAAGCTTTTGATAAACAGTGATCTATACCTTTATATTTTTGTTTTTAAACACTCCATGAAATTAGGTAAAGTTTCCGTATTTAACGTAATTATGAAAATAAGGAGTATTAAAAGCATTTAAAATTTACAACAACCACTTGTTTTAATGTACATTTTTACATTAATAGCCGTTATTCCTAAAGGTTGATATTTTATATTTTCGGGAATTTTAAGTTTTAATTGATAATATGCAACATATTAATCAAACCCTTTATTTATCCTTATATATTTTTTCTCAAAGCATAAACGTAAGCAATCCCAATAAATAAGTATCCAAGGGATAATAGAATAGATTAAAATGACCTTTTTCTGATTAAAGCATACTTTTTTTCATTTATACTTAATTTCACTGTGAAGGATGCATTTTTTATAAAAAAAAGCAACAAAAACTTACATACTTAAGTAGATCGAAGACATATATTTTCTTTGTCACAGGTCTACGTTATCATATCAATGAAATCAGCAGAAAAGCTATTTTAAGCACTGCCAAACAGTGACTGCTGTCTAAGTTACGCTGCAGAGCACATCCTATACAGCACACTGTTTAAAATGCATTTCATAAGACAGGTCAAACTTTGGAGATTGTGAATTGATAGTTCGGAAGGTTCCTTAAGAATTCTTTCTGTTAATCTGCTTCAACGGGAATTTTTTATTTTCCTTGGAGATAATTAGGTGCGGTCGGTATATAAAATTCATTTTCTTCAAAAGGGGTGCGCTGCTTCCAACGAACAAAAATCAATCTGGTGTGGCGTAAGAATGAAATGTTTAGTTTGGAATCGATATTTTTTAGGGAAAGTTACCGTTCGAACCTGTGTTTCAAAAGATATATGCAGCATCGGATAAATTGTTCGAAAACTGCATATTTTTGTAGTACTTGTATAAAGCTTTTGCTGATTTTACTTTCATTAATTCATAATTCATTAAGATTTAATTGTGCGATAATATCGCGCAAATACCACAACAAGCATTGTCTAGTAATAGATGTTTGGGTATAATTAGTATGCATAGATATCAAAATGTCATGTTAGTCAGCGATCAAGTTTAATTTTTTTTTTGGTAAGATTAAGTAGTTGCATTGTGTGGGATATTATTCACATTTGATTCCTATTTCAAAGCTACCGTTCTGTTTAATTCAAATCATCATATAAACTTTTATTTTGTACAGACGGCCTTTATGTATCTTGACGGGCACGAAAATGTCGTGCAAATGAATTAAAACGAGGTTCATATTTAAGAAAAGTGAAAGATTAGCTTATATAAGGAACATGTATGCAATGAAAAGTACTGAAAGGTAAAGTTCACGATCTTATATCTAATAACGATAATAAGGATCTATCCACAGTAATGTTCAATATTAAATCACCTTCAACGGTAGAAAATACATGTATGAATATAAAATAGAGTTGAACAATTCAACGTGCTACATTGTTAACACATTAGCCATCGTAATTTTAATGTTATTATGTTATAGAATTAAGTGTGTCCCTTTTCTGAACAAATTTGTATTTTGGTATATAAGCCCCAAACATATTTGTTGGACAGACAGGTAACAAAGCGGATATTGTTCTGTTTTATTTCTGGACCAAGTTCAGTTTTTTTTATCACTTAATATTTTATGAGCTACTCCAGTGACCCAAGTTAGGTGACTGACTTTAAATAGCATGTCGCTGACTGATGTAGGTTCGAATCCAACCAGAGACCTTAATTTCGTCCAAATATAATTTATGTAATATGAAACTCAGGCAACTATTTGCCAACTTTAAATCGAGTCAATAGTTCATATCCTAAAATATGATAAACAAGATCATCAAGAAAAGGCGCCGGGCAGTAAACCTCTGATTTCATTTTGTAAATATAATTACCGATTTAAATTTCCATATGATTGTAAAAATAAATCTTTTATGTAGTTGATTTGGCTTTTCATTCGTCCTCGTTGTTACATACCTTATTATGTATTGCGCATATTGTCTTGACATTTCTCAATCAAGCATATGTAATGAATATTAAACAGAACTGGTATTTACTCTGAATGTCTGAATGTATTGCAATTGATTACATATTTTCTGAAAGAAAAACAAATTAGAATAAAACAAGCTTGACAATTTGTGAATGGAAGGGGTTCGGAGATTAATTTTTGTATATAGTAGAAATAATTCTAATTCTTAAAACCTTCAAAATTCTTATCTGTCATTTTCCACTACTTTACACGAGTATGTTTAAATTTACTGCTTTTTTTCTAATACAACTTTGACAAAGTTAAATATTTATTTCTAAATAATATTTCTTTTCGAATGTGGCGGAGGATACTTCTATTTGCCCTGATCTCCTTTGTATGCTTTAACTCCGCCAAATACTGAAGATTTTATGATAGTTTGGTTTTAAGAATTGAACAAGTCCAAATGATGATAAATATTTAATAATTCCAAATATCAGCACATAATACAGAAATAAGACATTTTAAAGTAATTCACTTTCACAATAAATCCAATTTAACATTCAGAAAAGAAAATCATGTATTACTGAACGACTTTTATCAGAACTCTAATCAAGTGTAACATCTTTTATAGAATGGATTCCCGCCAAAAATCACGTGGTATATATAAAATGTAAGAAAATCGTGACAAAAATGTGCTTATATAAGTAGGAGTGTAAGTTATTGATAATAAATTTCGGAGTAATTAAGAAACTTTAATTTACCGGCGCAACTTTAACAATAGCATTATCTCCTGAGTTATATAACAGTAAAACAAAAATAACATCCTAATTCGCGATCTTCGCGACATTTCCCACAAAAAAATGATAGAAACATAAAACATAAAATTAAATAATGAACATTATTTTTCCAATAATCTTTGCAAAGATAAATGAAAGTTAATTTTTCATCACATATGTATGAAAGTCACCTTTATATTTCACAGTGGAAAACAATGCTTCCGATTCTTTATAAGTGGTGTATCGGAAGCCAATCCTAGACCATACTTCAACTTCAGTCCTAAGTGAACGTTCCTCCAGCTTTGTTTCTTCCTCTGAATCAACTATTTCAATAATACTGACTTGACCTGAGCTATAACTTGTTGTATTCACTTGACCATCAGAATAACATATGCTAATATCAACACTAACGTTATCCTCGAAGTTGCTTCAATCATTGTAATTACTTAGCTTTTCAGTATCGACGTCTGCCTCGACGTTGTTGTTATACGCGATACTGGCGTCATCATTAGTAACACCGACACTGATGTCATCTTGGTTTTCCGAATAGACAACATCACTGTACCCATCGGCATTCTGATCACTCACGTTTATTTCAATGCCGTTTCGTTGACTTATGTCATCATTTGCGTCGATGACATTTACGTTCATTTCATCGACGTCACTTTTTTCAACGTAGACTTTGTCGTTGACATAATCACAATCTGCATAAGAATCAAAGTGCTTAATGTCAAAGTCATTAATAATCTCAGAGCCTTTCTCTAAATTCATTTCATTTTGCTCTGCCAGTATATCTAAGATATCTTCAGCAGATGGAATATCTTGATAGTAGCTCTGCGTCTGTAGATTATCCTCACGCCTAGCAAAAAGCGTAGCCGTTCTAGCTTCATCTCGAGAAAATTTATGACGACTTATCAAGTGTTCGAAAAGATAGCTGCGTCGAATAAGTTTAGATGAACAGTTCTCCTTGTGCACCTTACCGGTGTATGTTAGTATTTAAGGGTTTCTATATATCAAATTAAACGTTAGGAACTGTAGTTTATGAAACTGCATGTTGCACTCTGCTAACTGATGCCACAACATTTTTATCCAAGATGGCGTCCAAGATGGCCGCCGCTTTCTTTCTGTTAATACATATGGACATTTACTTAACTATTTCAGTGGGTATCAATGTTAAAATGTTGTTAGACTCTTTCAAAATAAAGAAACGGTTAAAGTGTAAACTAAAGATATCATTTGACGAGTCTTGTTTAGTGAAAAATAGTTAAAAAAATAGATTTATTTAGATGACCAGTACATTAAGTAAGTTTTCCTGTGTCGTTTTGTAATTATGATATTGTTAATGGAATAAAAACAGTAAAGGACTGGCCCTTTGTTATCAATAAGAGTTTTTTGTAAGTAATTTGTAAAATATTTAAAGTAATAACATAAAAAGTAAACATGTACTTGAACCAATAAACCCATAATATAACGCAGAATGTACTGTACATAATTATCATTGATACATCAACCTTATAATAGAAAGTTTAATTCAATGGAGGATGTCTTTCAATTCTTTTAAACTAACTTATGGACTGTATCAAATATAGCAAAAGTTTGTCTGTATGATGATAGTGGTCTGTTGTTAAAC